AAAATACCAGCAATGATCTCAAAGCAAACTACAAGGAAAGTCCTTGGCAGGAAACAGACTCATTGTTAGCTGATATATATTAAGTGGAATGTAGGTGGATAAAAAAATAGAACACAAAGAAAATGAGCGATCAGGCTGGGAGCGGTGGCTCACGCCTATAATCCTAGCACTCTGGGAGGCCAAGGTGGGAGGACTGGTCAAGGTCAGGAGTTCGAAACCAGCCAGAGCAAGAGCGAGACCCTATCTCTACTAAAAAAAATAGAAAGAAATTAATTGGCCAACTAAAAATATATAGAAAAAATGAGCCGGGCATGGTGGCGCATGCCTGTAGTCCCAGCTACTCGGGAGGCTGAGGCAGGAGGATCGCTTGAGCCCAGGAGTTGGAGGTTGCTGTGAGCTAGGCTGACGCCACGGCACTCACTCTAGCCTGGGCAACAGAGCGAGACTCTGTCTCAAAAAAGAAAAAGAAGAAGAAGGAAAATGAGCGATCAAGGAAGAGAGCAAGGATAGGAGGGAGGACATGCAAAAAACCACCTGTGATAAAAAAAAAAAACAAAAAAAAAAAAACCACCTGTGAGCAAACAGAATGGCCAGCCCTGTCCCCCTGTCCTTATCAGGAAAGACAAGCCTTCAGAGATGAGGACAGTGAGCCGGGTGGAATGACACCATGCACACCTATTCAGAGACGTGCTCACAGCTCCTCCGTGCTAGATTCCGGGGACTGCACCAGGAGGAATGAAAACCAGTGACCTGTCTCTGTCATGGCAATAGCTGGCTGACTGACATCGCTGAGCTCTGCTCTGTGCCAGGCACCGTTTATTAATTCATGCGACCCTCCAAGCAACCCGTTTGGGGAAGTGCTATAATTAACACCAACCACTTTACTGGTTACCTAGCTTGCTCAAGGTCACCCAGCCAGTAAGAAACCCAGGTAAGATTTCAACCCAGGTAGTCTGGTGCTAAGGCAGTGGTTCTCAAACTACCTCTGGGACTTGCCAGGGGAATTTTTTAAAAATATTGATGCCTGGACAGGCGCGGTGGCTCACGCCTGTCATCCTAGCACTCTGGGAGGCCGAGGTGGGAGGATCGCTCAAAGGTCAGGAGTTCGAGACCAGCCTGAGCAAGAGTGAGACCCCATCTCTACTGAAAATAGAAAGAAATTAATTGGCCAACTAAAAATATACAGAAAAAATCAGCCGGGCATGGTGGCGCATGCCTGTAGTCCCAGCTACTCAGAAGGCTGAGGCAGGAGGATCGCTTGAGCCCAGGAGTTGGAGGTTGCTGTGAGCTAGGCTGACGCCACGGCACTCACTAAGTAGTAAGACGAGTCCCTGGCTCCTGCTCAGGCTGTGAACTCCTGACCTTGAGCAATCCGCCACCTCGCCTCCCAAAGAGCTAGGATACAGGCGTGAGCCACAGCGCCCGGCCCGTTTTTGTTTTTTTTAATAAATTCTTCTTTTTTTTTTGAGACAGAGTCTCACTCTGTTGCCCAGGCCAGAGTGCCGTGGCGTCAGCCTAAGCTCACAGCAACCTCCAACTCCGCTCCAAGCGATCCTCCTGCCTCAGCCTCCCCGAAGCTGGACTACAGGCATGTGCCAAATGCCTGACTCATTTTCTATATATTTAGTGGCCGATTAACTTTCTAATTTTTAGTAGAGACAGGTCTCTCTCTGCTCAGGCTGGTTCCGACTCCTGACCCTTTGAGCAATCCTCCCACCTCCGCCTCCCAGAGTGCCAGGATGAAAGGAATGAGCCACGGCGCCCGGCCTTCTTTTTATAAATTCTAACCCACATCTCAGCGCATGAAAGGCAAGGACACAGCCTCCCTAACTTTCTCCTGTGTGGTTGATTTTTATCTAAATCTGATAATGAAAAGTGGTGCTAGGATGGTAAACAGGAACGCGGTCCGTTCCAAAGTAATATAAAAATGCAAAAACGATTCTGCCATCTCAGGGCAATGTTTTTCTTCAACAGGAAAATTATCTCATTCCAAGCTCGTCAGCCTTTACGGGGTGTGTACCCCAGCCGGAAGCCCTTACAATAGTGTACTGAGTTTGGAAAAAACGGCTGCCTGCTCCAACTACCTCCAGGGAGAGAAAGGAAATGCTGAGGAAGGAGACGTTATGATAATGTGCCGGACATATGTGAAGGAATGGAAACTTTCTGGAGAGAAACTGCTACATTCATAAGGGATTAGTAAGAGGTGCAAATTCACTTACTTTTTCCGCCTGCAGCTCTAATCACAGAAGGAAAGTGGACATTGCTTTCAATAATTCATAAAAATATCCTTTGCTATGTTAAGCGTTGCTCCCTATTCAGCCAATTTGTTGTGGAATGTGCTTTTAATTTTAATGGCCCGTTTTAATGCTGTAGCCAAGTAATGGTTATTCTAAAAAATCGCTTGAACTAACTCACCAGGCTAACCAATCCAATTCCGACACTGATTTACTTCTTTCCTCTCCTCTTCCATCCTCCGCTTCCTTCTCTTTTTTTTTTACCTGAGACAGTCTCACTCCTGTTGCCCAGGCTAGGAGGTGCCTCCCTATCTGTTATGGCTCTAGGCTTTACCCTGCTGTGTTTTAACCCAGATGTTCCCTAAATCCTCAGTTCCTTTTTTTTTTTGAGAACAGAGTCCTCACTCTGTTGCCCAGGCTAGAGTGAGTGCCGTGGCGTCAGCCTAGCTCACAGCAACCTCCAACTCCTGGCTCAAGCGATCCTCCGGCCTCAGCCTCCCGAGTAGCTGGACTACAGGCAATGCGCCACCATGCCCGGCCTAATTTTTGTATATATTTTTAGTTGGCCAATTAATTTCTTTCTATTTTCAGTAAAGAAGATGGGGTCCTCACTCTGCTCAGGCTGGTCCGAACTCCTGACCTTTGAGCCGATCCTCCCACCTCGCCGACAATCACTAGCAAAAAGAACTAATTAGAAAGGAGAACTGGAGAGCCTTCGCAACGGGTCGAGAATTCATTTAAAAATTCACATTAAGGATGTAATCCTAGCATCTGCGGAGGCTGAGGCGGGCAGATTGCTCAAGGTCAGGAGTTCGAGACAGGCTGAGCAAGAGCAACCCCATCTACTATAAATAGAAATAATTGGCCAACTAATATATATAGCAAAAAATTAGCCGGGCATGGTGCGCATGCCTGTAGTCCCAGCTACTCGGGAGGCTGAGCAGGAGGATCGCTTGAGCCCAGGAGTTGGAGTTGCTGTGAGCTAGGCTGACGCCATGGCATCTAAGCCTGGCAAAGAGTGAGACTCTGACTCAAAAAAAACAAATAAATAAAGATAATATTAAAAAGAAGTGCATCCCTTACTGAAAAGTACACCTTATGCATTTGAAAGCAAATCAGACAAAATATATATGAATATTGATATATGATATATCTTCAATTAAATCATGTTTAGGTTTTGAATGCCTCTCTCTCCATGAGACTGGAGTGTTTTTCAAAATAATTTTATGGAATGGTGTCAGTAATTCATTCCTACACATTTAGGTATTCCAAGAATAATCTTCCCTGCAGTCTCTATATTTTATTTTACCTTTAAGGAATGAAAAGGAGAAGAGGAACTTTTGAGGCGCATTTGAAAATTTTCTAACAGAG